TAACAATGATTTCTTAAATTACTTTTTCAGAAGAAGAGGGTAAAAATAACAGAGAAGACATGCCTGAAGAGACCAAGAGTGAGGATGAAGACATCATGAAGACAGAAAGACATACCAACAACATGAACATTACTGTAGGCAAGTTCTGCCAGTGGCTGACAGGACTGGGTCATATCCCACTAAGTCATTCAGATAGGGAAGGTTTCAGAATTATCATAGAATTTGACCATGACTGCCAGGTGCGTTATGGGACACATCATAGCATCTGCTATCCTGTAGTTAATGCATGTTCATGCTCAGTCACATTCCCAATAGCACACCTGAGTACATACGTAGAATTCAAAAATATAATCTCACAGGCGATTGTCCATGGCTATGAATTTGGCCGCTGTTAGGAACTGAATGTTCCAGCTCACTTTTTCTTTTTGGTCAGGTCTACTCTAAACACATTACACTTGACAAGTACAAAGATTTACAAATGATGCTGAAATTGATGATTGCAAAGTTAGAGCACAATATTAAGTACAGGATGTATGATTTCATAAACAAAACTTTGTAGTTTTTAGTAGCACTTTATTATGGTTAAGCAGTATATACAGTTTCAATGCATTTTCAGTAATTTTTCTGCTGTTTTTCATGTACATTTTTTCTGTAAGGATTCTGAAGCATTTTAAGGATTTCAGTCTATCAGAATAATTGTGCCATGAAATAAAAATGTAAAACAAAGGTTGTGTACAATAATTCAAACAGGACATGTCCAAAGACATAAGTTAACAGACAAAATTCCTTAGCGCGTGAATGACAGTTAAAGAGATGACCTGAACGAAGCAGTGTGTGTTTGTGATGAGTCCAGTGGGAGTGGCAGAACTGAACAGGTTTTTAAGTTTGAGCCTGCAGTCGTTTTATATGCTCATAGCAAACAGTGTATAGCTGTTCATCAGTAATGTTTCGGTCAGTAGGATCAACCAAAGTTTGGAGTTCATTCATCTCCTCCTCAGTCAGAGGGCACTCATATTCAGGCACTACAACACCAGTTTCTGAGTCAAGGCCATCGTAGTCAACAACAGTCTCCCAGTCAATGTCTGGCTCTTGTAGGTCCTATAAATTTATCAGAAGACATAACAAATCATAGCTTTCATGTGGTAACAATACTGTATATTTCAGTTTACTCACAAGATCAACAATTATATGGTTATGATATGTACATTTAAGATAACTCATCATAGAGCATTGCTTATGAAACACATTTAGTATGTGTACTTTGATATTTTGTATTTGGAAACAACCACACTGTAGAAGAAACACTTACCGCAAGGTTCTCAGAATGGACATTAGTGTTTAGCATTTGTGAAATCTCCCAGATCTGTGCTGGACTCCAGTTTCCCTCAGTACGTAGTGAATGGTGGTTCCAGGCTTCAGTGAATATTTCCAAGTCTCTTTTGATTCGTGGAAGAAATGTATAATGTACACAGAATATGTCATGTGTACAGGAGATGTCCAGGAGGTCATTTTCTTCAAGGGACTGTAAAAGGTTGTAGTATTTTGATGACACTGAGATCCACACATCTCGCCATAACCGTTCTATCCTAAGGTTAAAACAAAATAAAATAATTTCCATTAACATGTAGGAAAACATGACATTGTGTCCAAGTCTAGCAGAAAATTAATATAATGGAAAAACTATGTTAGTGCATCACTAATACGTGGTATAATTGCATGCAGCACAAATGTAGCACTAACCAAACACTGTATTTTTTATCTGAAGCTGTTAGTGGGGTCAGCTTCACTTAGCTTAACTAGCGACTCTTATCTTAGCCTTCTTCCACTATCTAGCTAATAACTGCAACAAGTATTTGTGGATTTTCTTCTACAGATCAGCTGTGGTATGAATTGGACGAAAATCCGCGTGATCCACAAGTAGGCAGGAAGTGATCCACAAATCTTTAACTATCCACAAAAATACAGAGCGATTTGTACAACTGAAATGGGTTGTGCACATTTGTGAATGTGGATCACGCAACATTTGTAACTTTGCTCCTATTTATTTGTAGATTTTGTCCAATTCATATTGTCGTTGATCTGTAGAGAGAAATCCACAAATATGAGCTGCAGTTATTAGCTAGATAGTGGAAGAAGGCTAAGATAAGAGTCGCTAGTTAAGCTTAG